GGGACTATCAATCCTATTATGAATTATGGACAGATATTGCATGACTTGAGACACTGCCCTTCTAAGTTTCAAAGTTTCAATGTCCACCATACCAGACACGAATAAGGAAGGGTATAAGTAGGGATAGTATCCGTACTGTTTCTTATATATCCATCGAGCAAATTTACGTTGTATTTTTTCAATCATTAGAACGTATTTCTCTTCGTAAGGATTCCAGATAACAGCTCCGTACTCTAGTTTACTGCGCACATAAGCATTATATAATACTTTTGCGACCCGTGTATTATCAAACTGTGACGCAGTCCTTATGACAAACCCTAACATTTTATGCGCTGACTTACAAATTTTGTTGATATGCGTGTGAAAATCTAATTTGCAATCTAATAGTAATCCTAAGTCCCTAATCTCTTTAACTCTTTCCAAAGGATCGTCAGTCAACTTATAATTAAAAATAATGGGCTGTGATTTTCTCGTGAAAGTTATTATTTTACATTTGAGATTATTGAACGGAAGGTGGTTTTCTTGACTCCATATAGACACAGCATCAATATCTCTTTGTAATGTCACGGCATCAGCCTCAGTTTCAATACCCAGAGTTAGTTTCAGGTCATCCGCAAATAGGAGACACTCTGCAGTCAAAACAACATCTGGCAAATCGTTGATAAATATCACGAATAGCAAAGGTCCTAACGTACTACCTTGACTTACTCCTGACCTAGTAAAGTAGTCTCCAGAGTTATATCCACTGAGCCTCACATATTGACGTCGATTATTAAGGTAACAAGAAAAAAAATTGAGGAGCTTTGGTTCGAATCCAACAATCGCCAACTTTTTCAATAGTACATCGTTATCCACAAGGTCGAAGGCTTTCTGGAAGTCAAAGTAAGCCGCATCAACTTGCCTTCGCTTATCCATTTGTGAGCAGATATAGTCTACATGCGCGACCAAGTTGGTGACGGTGGAGCGAGCTGTACGAAACCCATGTTGACCATTATGCAACTGTTGACCGATTTGGCATTTGATGGAATCACTTAGAATTGCTTCAAAGATCTTACCAAAAACGGATAGGACAGCTATAGGTCTGAATGAAGTAACATTTGTGCCTCCGTCTCCTTTAGGAACAGGAGTGACTCGAGATAGCTTCCAGCTCTCAGGATATCTTGACTGGGTCAATGAAAGATTATATAAATACAGAAGAGGCCGCCCAAGGACTGATATACAGTCCTTAACTAAGAAGACAGGAATGCCATCCGGCCCACCAGCCGATCGTGGCTTAAGGCGTCTCACTACCTTCTTCAGATCGTTTTCATCAACTGTCGTGATGGAAACTGAGGTCACATCTCGATGTATATGTGCATATGCAGCTTTTGCAGCAGTATCCGGGTTTAGCACGGGTTTCTCTGCATGAAAAACGGACGCAAAATATTTAGCAAAGGCATCGGCTGCGGCTTGATCTGTCACTGCAGTATTTTCATATATATATGTATCTATGTACCTTCTATTGTTTTTCTTCTCCTTTACATATTTCCAGAATTGCACAGGATCGTCAATGATATTTTTTTGTAGTACAGTCATATATTTCCGGTATTCGCAGTCAATCAATTTCTTAACTTTTTCTCTATAATATATAAACATAGCCTTATTAAATTCTTTGCCCTCTTTTTTGAATTGCTTATGATGAAAGTGTTTGTTTTTTATATTTTTTATTATTTCTACGTTGTACCAGTTTGGATATATGTATCGCCGATTGTTTGATAATTGTTTTTTAATAGGCACAAACAGATTTATAATTTCGTATAGCTTATCATAGAACAGCTGTACAGCACAGTTAATATCGCTTATTGTTAACAAATCAGACCAGTCTATTTCAATCAAAGTCCTATATAGACCCTGAAAATCTGCCTTACGCCAGTTCCAATCTATATTGGTATTCGAGCGAGGTGTCACTTGCTGCAAAGATGACACGTTCGATGCTATCCAAAAGCCCGGAAATGTAATATTTATATCGAGCATAGGATGGTACTGATCGATATTTACCAGAGGATCTTCACTGAGAGATACCACTATCTGTTTAGCTTCAAAACTGCCCAGCACCAGATCCAGCATACCACCGCGATTATTTAAGACTGTATTATGTTGCTTAAGCGAGCAGAATTCACAAAAAAAGTCAAAAGAAGTCTTTATATTGGTACTGCAAGAGTTTAAATTAAAGTCACCTAGGATTAGAACATTTAGGTCAGGGTAAGTACAAATCACATTTTCTATACATGTCAAAACATTCAAATATTGCTCATCCTTATAATTTGGTGGCAGATATACGACACAACATAAAACTTTTACATTTTTAAATGTCACAATTGCAAATATTAATTCTTTGTCATCAGTCATACTAACAATATCCGTAACTATTTTAACATTATAACGATCACGAATCGCGAGCAAAACTCCTCCCCATCCACAATCACCAGTTCTATCTTTACGAACTACATGAAAACCCGGAGGAAAGAGTTCACCATTGGACACTGAACTCGTAAGAAAGGTCTCAGTTAATGCTATCATATCATATTCACTTTCCATAACATTATTAAGAAACATATTAGTTTTTGTTCTTAGGCCACGAACATTTTGGTAACATATTTGCATTTCATGGAATCGCGGTTGACGTTTGATTGTTTTTGTCTTTGGCACGAAAGTTCTGCCGCCATGGTTTAATACAAATATCTTCAGCCCAGTTTTCAGATGACATTATATTTCCGGCCTGCTTCAATGGAACTCCGAGTTTGAACGATGCATAATGTCCACGTGGTTTCAATTTTTCAACCGTGCATTCGCCGTTCCCACATATTGAGTTAAGATGTTCGTGTACTTCCTCTACTGTGGTGCCTTCTCGTACGTAGTATAGATGCAGGTATCTCCGCCTTTCAGCAGCATGCAACATCGTAGAACCAGGCGCAGCGGTACCTCGAAGCAACCCGGAAAGTGAGGGGCGTGCCCGTTTGCGTGATACTTCTTGCCAGTTGTCATCAATCCGCTCGCAGTCCTGGCTATTATTTAAAGAGACGGAAGACTCGGAATATTCTGCGTGCATCATCTTTTGAGCACTGATAACTGGAGCCACAGATGAGACTTTATTTTTTCTGGGGACAGTAAACGCAGACTGATCCTTATCAGTTCCGAGATGTTCGATATTTGGTTGAGGTTGAGGTTGAGGTTTCCGCTTCGGAGGCTTATTTTGTGTAGTGGGTATATTTTCAAGGGTTGGACTGGTTTGAGTACCGCTAGTTTTCAAGATTTTGGATATTGGCGTCGGTTCGCAGGCCTTATTAATGCTCGATAAGTAGTGTTCCTCTAATTGTAAAACCTTGTTCGTTATCAAATTAACCCTATCTAAGAATTCAGTTTTGAACGCCAAAAATTGTTCAATAAGCAGTGTATTAATTTTGGTCATTAGCTGTGCTTCGAATTCAATTTGCAGGTTTTTTAATTCACGCACAACAGAATCTTTTAAATCTTTTCCTGTAATACTTTCGCCTGTGCTTCCCATAGTAGTTTGGGCGTATCGCGGCTTAGCTCGTACAGTCACGTTATCAGAAGTCTGCATGGATACGTCAAGGCACGAAGCAGTAGAGGTGGTATTTAAATCCTGCATAACGTGTGGCCGCACTGGAGTATGAGAATTATCTCGTTTTGGTTGCCTACAGCGACATTCTCCACATATCCAAGACATCTTTAATTCCACCGACATATTTTTAAACACATCAGTAGTAATGTTTGCACAAATAATATCAAAAATCTGCTTACATTTTGCACATTTCATATATGGACCGTCTCCGCTCACCTCGGTGCGGCAGCCCGCGCACGGTGCCGTCCGACTTGCCATCGTAGTGCAGTCCGCTGAACTTAGATATTGCAATGCCGCGCACACAGCGCTGGCCGGTAGCGATGACTCAGTGGAGCAGCGGGCGTCACGCGGGTTGTCGTAGGTCAGGGTTCAAGATGGTTAACAAATAATTTTGAAATGTTATTGCTTATATCTTCGAAATTACTGGATGGAAATGAATTTTGGTTTCACCACTAGAATCGTCACTACAACAGCGTTGTGAATTATATACAAACAACTTTAGAGTACAACTTTAGACACGAATTTTAACAGTTTATTTACGGAGCAAACTTGCACAGATGTTTCCTTCACAGAGGGTAGGCATGTATTTTCTTTGATATTTCTTTTATGTTGATATTCTTTGATATTCTTTGATATTGATTTTCTTTATGTTATTTCTTTGACCGTGATCTTTTTCGCACGTCCTTGTCGTAGGTGATCCACTTATCATTACCAGTGATCAACCTTTTCAAAAATGGTGCGGTTTCATTACGTTTCAATAGAGAATCGCAAATGAATGTGTGGTACTAACTAAATATCTAGCTCAAATGGGTCAAAACTACTAATAATTTTTTTTTTCAAAAATGGTATCGACTTTATCCGTATGAGGGCGACCAGAGCGAGCTGCATCTTCGACATCTAAATTTCCGGACTGAAAACGCTTGAACCAACTTTGTGCTACTCTTACAGACACTGAATTAGGTCCATAAAGCCTTGATAAACTTGGGGCCAAAAGGAGCAGCATGTTGCGCAACATGTCGCTCAACAACTACGTGAAATGTCCCGCGACATATGTCGCATTCATTTTGTTGGCCATATTAGTCAGTGCTTACAGAAATATCGCCCGAGGAGGTTGTGGCGATTAGTGCTGCGGTCATAGTACTTATTAAGTAAGCGAAAAAGGTGATGGATGCGGAATTTCTTACTATAACGAGAAGAATTATTAATATTTCAAATGATCTCCGAATGTCTGACGGATCTTTTGTGAATTTTACTCGAATGTCAATATCTGCTTTTGAAACTTTATTACAATTGATCGGAGCTTCCATAACATTTAGACACACTTACATTGCATCACTAGATTCCATTATTATTAATAAAGTTTGTATTTACTTTTTAGCATCATCTGCAAAAAGTATATGAAAAGCTATGTGAAGATTTAGACCTAAATTACAGTTTGAGTGTAAATACTGGAAGCATTTACCTACCAGAAATAGGTAAGAAGATTGACACATTTGAGATTTGTAGATGAGATAATTTTAAACTAATAGGGTATAACATACAAAATATTATTTTTTTAAACTAGTGAAAACAAACTTAGAGTCCACCTGATGGTAAGTGGCTATTGCAGCCTATGCTATGCAAACAATTTCAAATAAAAGGCTACAGGTGCGTTGTGTTACATGTGTACGATGGAATGCTTGACAGCTTATAATTATACTAGCTCTCTATACCGTTCACACCGGAACACGAGCAAAATTTATTATTTGGCGGCAAAATTAGGTTAGGAAATGGCCGCCTCGTAATTGCCAAAAGTGATGTTCTTCATTTATCATATGAATAGTTTAATTTTTGAACGTAGTATGTACTTGAGATGATTTAAAAATACGCTCTAAACTGCAAAAAAATACCTACGCTCCAAACTCAATCTAAGTTTAGCCAGCTAATATTAAGTTTAATTTTTGTACTAGCCGTTACATATATACAATCAAACCTGCTGCTGTACATATATACAATCAAACCTAATGCTGTTTTTGAATAATTTAAATAAACGTTATTTATAATATGTACGAGCTGCTGTGCTGTACAATGTTAGAAGTTGATAGAAATGATAAAGGCTTGAACTGATTGTGTAATAGTGAGTACAATGCGCGACGGCGAATGATTGCGTAGTGATTTGATGAGAATGAAAAATGATACAATAAGGTATAAATGCTGATGTGCAGAAATGTACGGTTTGTAAAAACTGTATATTTTTATATGGAATAAACTAGTTTCTCGCGAAACTTGCTAGATATTTTACAACGTACTTGAATACTTTATAACTTTTCTGGGTAATTCTTTAGAAAACTATTTCTCTAGTAACGGCCAGCGAGTTCAGTCGCACTCATACTGAATTCATTTATCCAACCATTACAGCCTATAAAAGTTTACTGCTGATCACTGCTGGCTATCCTCATAGATTGTCTCATGGTCATATTTTGCCATAGTTGTGTTTTTATTATTATTTTAAGTTCTTATCAGGAAGATGCTGCTGCTCATCCTGTTTCATATTCCCTCTGTCGTCTGTTACGACACCCACAGTTACGATATTAGGTAGGGGACATTCTTATACCACCAGTACATGGTGCACAAGTACAGTGTACAAGTTTTTCTAGATAGGTGTTACACCTTAGAGAAACGGCGAGCGGGCTCGGTCGCCGTCCCACTGATTAAACAATGTTTTAAAATTTGCATATATTCAGACATGGTGTGCGTGGTGAACGTGGAGAAGTACTGCGTGGCGGACGCGCACACGGCGGAGCGGCAGGCGACGTGGGCGCGCGCCGTGGTGCGCGAGCTGCCGGGGCGCGGCCGCGTGCGCCTGCTGCTGCCCGACTGCGGCGCCACGCTGCTCGCGCACTGGACCGCGCTGCGCCGCATACTGCCCAAGTTCACCACGCTCCGAGCACTCGTTAGTACTACTCGCTACACTCCCAGCAAGTTCACCACGGTGGTGCGCGAGCTGCCGGGGCGCGGCCGCGTGCGCCTGCTGCTGCCCGACTGCGGCGCCACGCTGCTCGCGCACTGGACCGCGCTGCGCCGCATACTGCCCAAGTTCACCACGCTCCGAGCACTCGTTAGTACTACTCGCTACACTCCCAGCAAGTTCACCACGGTGGTGCGCGAGCTGCCGGGGCGCGGCCGCGTGCGCCTGCTGCTGCCCGACTGCGGCGCCACGCTGCTCGCGCACTGGACCGCGCTGCGCCGCATACTGCCCAAGTTCACCACGCTCCGAGCACTCGTTAGTACCACTCGCTACACTCCCAGCAAGTTCACCACGGTGGTGCGCGAGCTGCCGGGGCGCGGCCGCGTGCGCCTGCTGCTGCCCGACTGCGGCGCCACGCTGCTCGCGCACTGGACCGCGCTGCGCCGCATACTGCCCAAGTTCACCACGCTCCGAGCACTCGTTAGTACTACTCGCTACACTCCCAGCAAGTTCACCACGGTGGTGCGCGAGCTGCCGGGGCGCGGCCGCGTGCGCCTGCTGCTGCCCGACTGCGGCGCCACGCTGCTCGCGCACTGGACCGCGCTGCGCCGCATACTGCCCAAGTTCACCACGCTCCGAGCACTCGTTAGTACCACTCGCTACACTCCCAGCAAGTTCACCACGGTGGTGCGCGAGCTGCCGGGGCGCGGCCGCGTGCGCCTGCTGCTGCCCGACTGCGGCGCCACGCTGCTCGCGCACTGGACCGCGCTGCGCCGCATACTGCCCAAGTTCACCACGCTCCGAGCACTCGTTAGTACCACTCGCTACACTCCCAGCAAGTTCACCACGGTGGTGCGCGAGCTGCTGGGGCGCGGCCGCGTGCGCCTGCTGCTGCCCGACTGCGGCGCCACGCTGCTCGCGCACTGGACCGCGCTGCGCCGCATACTGCCCAAGTTCACCACGCTCCGAGCACTCGTTAGTACTACTCGCTACACTCCCAGCAAGTTCACCACGGTGGTGCGCGAGCTGCCGGGGCGCGGCCGCGTGCGCCTGCTGCTGCCCGACTGCGGCGCCACGCTGCTCGCGCACTGGACCGCGCTGCGCCGCATACTGCCCAAGTTCACCACGCTCCGAGCACTCGTTAGTACTACTCGCTACACTCCCAGCAAGTTCACCACGGTGGTGCGCGAGCTGCCGGGGCGCGGCCGCGTGCGCCTGCTGCTGAAGTATGTTTGTTCATAACTCCGGCATATACAGGGTTATTTTTCAAAGACCAGCTATTTACTCCCTTAATGACACACTCGCTACTAAGTTGATAACTACAACATTTCATCGACGACTGGAATAGATGCTATGCAAATAAAAAGTTCTGCACACCTGGAATTAAATAATATTTTTACTCCCACACAAATGAGAGTTCGAAATACAGGTTCCGATTGCAGAGCGAGGGAACGAGGTGGAGAATAAATATAAACAATTAGTTGTAGAAAAGATAGTTGAGCTGGAAGGCCAATGATAGACTGGCGCAATTTAAATAATGGTTACTCAGGCGGCGCGAGCATAGCGTCTAGCTTCCGGTTTACAAAAAGTACTATGTGCGTCTAGCGTTTATCCTCATTTCTGTCAAAGTTGTAATATTGAAGTCGGTTGTACAACATTTTTAATTTTACCACTTGTTGAAGTGAAAACTTCTTTAGAATCGCTGTTAATCTCGATGAAATAAAGATGCTATGCAAATAAAAAGTTCTGCACACCTCGAATTAAATAATATTTTTACTCCCACACAAATGAGAGTTCGAAATACAGGTTCCGACTGCAGAGCGAGGGAACGAGGTGGAGAATAAATATAAACAATTAGTTGTAGAAAAGATAGTTGAGCTAGAAGGCCAATGATAGACTGGCGCAATTTAAATAATGATTACTCAGGCGGCGCGAGCATAACGTCTAGCTTCCGGTTTACAAAAAGTACTATGTGCGTCTAGCGTTTATCCTCATTTCTGTCAAAGTTGTAATATTGAAGTCGGTTGTACAACATTTTTAATTTTACCACTTGTTGAAGTGAAAACTTCTTTAGAATCGCTGTTAATCTCGATGAAATAAAAAAGCGACACAATAAGAAATACATATACATCTATAGTAAATCCTATATCAGCGAGAGAATAAGATAGAATACAGTATAAGCCTGGCGTCGACTACAGCAGAAATGCGTCGAATTGAAGCGAGTCGCATTTATTCCTAGCGCGTCCATCTCTGAAGAATCGAATCGAATTGTTCATTTATCGCAAATTCTTCGTCAAAATAGGCCGATTTTGCAAATCGTGATATTGTGGATCTTCATGATTAAACAATTCTGGATATTGTTGGACCAGTGATATCAATAGTTCTTCATTCATTTTTATTTAAACTAATGGATTCTTACGAAAACGAAATAGAAATTAATAAAAATACGTTGGCACGCATCCGCTTCCTGCGTCTACTGAGGCGCGCAGAGTTGAATCGAATCGCACCGACGACGAAATTCGCCTGTCAAGCAATTCGTGCGGTCGATTCAATTCGGCGCGCCGCGGCTCGTCGCTAATGGACGCAGTTTCATAGTAAATATGTAGGAGGCGACTTTCTGCGATTCGATTCGACTCGGCTCGGCGAGCCTAGTGGACGCTTAGCCATACAGTGTGTCTTATGGTCTCCTTTTCTGAAGATTTCACTTTTACCGTGTGTGAACTGCACACATGTATTTCTTTTTATAGGATAAGGAGTATCATACGAGCAGACAGTCCACCTAATGATAAGTGGATGTTGTAGCCCATAGATATTTACATCCCTCCTCGATTAAAAATCAAAAAGCATGTCATCTAAAGTGGAATGCCTCATTTCTAGTAAAAAAGGTCTCGAGTTCTCTTCACTCACTGTACGAAACACACCAGCATTGAGCTGCTATTTTACGCTGGTATCCTATAGGAGCGTGAATTATTAAAAAGCTATAATATAAAAATCGTCACGAAATACCTTATTATGACATATTTATATTGAGAAATAGATATAGTATTGCGGACTTTTTTTTATAGATGCATTAAAGATCAATATTTTTGTAGAACATTGTATTTACGTATAACTAACCATTACGCCCTACGCACGTAGATAAAGCATTTTCCTTCCGACTTGCTTAACAAAAATCAATATCTAAGGCTAGCTGAAAGGTACCTAGTACCTAAAAACCTAGTACTAGAGGTAACCTATTATTATTCCTGATGAATTTGGCTATCATATACAAAAATAATAATTTTTCAATTCGAACTGGTAGTTCCAGAGATTAGCGTATTTAAACAAACAAAAAAAACTTTATCTTTATTATATTACTATTTAGATAATATCATGTGTACTTTTTACTTCTTATATTGGCTCCACCAGTTTCTTTAATTTGGAAAGAAATTAGATATGTCCAAAAAAAGATAATGAACTTACTAATACCCTTTAAAGTTTTAAAGTACTAAAGAGTTACCTTTGGAAAAGCTTTACACCATCTATCTGCATCATATTGCACAGTCTAAAACGCTCCCTCTACTTGGCTTATTCGGTCTAAGTAAACTGTAAAAAACAATTATCGCGCTTTTTGGATGGTGCTATAAAAACAGTGGTCATTGCCGTTAACCTCTCATGACAATAATGTCAGAGTGAAAATTGAGATATGAAAACAGATGCAAAACATTTATTTGCAGGCAACTGAATGTCACTTGGCCGGAGTTACGCCATTAAACAAAAAGTGGAGTCCCAACTCCGTGGCGTTGCTCCAAAACTTCCAAGGTCGACTCTTGGAACTACATGTTGAAGATAATAACAACCGTTCCCTAGGCGTTACTCTGTATGACAAAACAAACGAAGATAATGTCATATGCATTAACACAGAAATGGTGAAATACAAATTCGCTGTTACCTTTGGGTACGTTTTCGTTATTTTGGCTACATTTAAACATTTTGATTGCATTTAGATACCGTTTAAAATGCCCATGTATCTAATTAAATCATAATTTTTTTTTTTTATAGATTATTCAAGTTTAACAAACAAAATGTTCTTGAAGAACAAGTAATCACTAACAAGTCCCCACTTAAAGAAACACCGCGTCTTAAAACTCCATCTAAGAGCATTAATATTTTGAAAAATGAAACTTCAACAAAGCCCGAGATTGACGAAGAAAGTTTAGAAGCTAAAGATAAAGGGCCATTAAGATTGGAAGCAAAGGTTCTGTATTATCAGTCTCCATCTCTCATTTACGTATCGCTTGTTCATCAGCAGAAGACATTAAATGTTCTGTTTGAGAATATACAAAAGTACTATTCTAAGAAAAAAATTCAAAAAAAAGATGATTGGAAGGTTGGTGATAGATGTTGCACCATATGTCAACAATCACAAACATGGCGCCGTGCAGCCATTGTCGAACTAGAAGGTGCAAATGCTAAGGTCTTCTATTCAGACTTCGCATGTGTTGAAACTGTACCAGTATCAAGTTTGAGGGAATTGACTCAAGACTTCGCATCAATAGGTGACGCCGCTATTAAATGCCATTTATGCGGCGTAGTACCCGCAGATGGAGAAGAGTGGCCATCTCTTACAAAAGAATATCTAAAAGAAATGTTGGATGCATACAAAAGAGTTTTTATTACAAAGATTGGAAATTTCAAAGATAAGAGTATGCCAATTGAGATGTGGGTTTATCACACAACCCAAGGTGGCGCGTTGGAGCCCAATACTTCAGAATGGCGTTGTCTTAATAGGAAAATCATTGAACAAGGACTGGGCATACCCGATAAATCTCAACAGGTACTTTTTCGTCGCTTTATGCCGTGTTTTTCGACAATCATAATTAGTATAATTAATAGAATCAGGCGTTACTTTGCGGAAATCCATTATATAAAAGCTTTTAGAAAAATTTACTTCGCGAATATCCGCGTTATAAAATAAAATGATGTGTCTTACCTAGTATGAAGAGCACCTCCCGCCCTCCCTCAATTGCGTGCACTATCCCCGTCATCACTAATCCCAGCACCGCTACTCCCAACACCACTACACTAGGCAAGACACACCACTGACGGTAATACGACACGTGTTTCGCCTCTACACGAGGCATCCTCAGGTGATATAGACTCTACGGTGGCTAACCGCTAAGTGAGCGGCAAGCCAAAATAAGTGCCTTTTATACAGAACGAATTCGGTCTGTATAAAAGGCACTTGTATTGGCTTTAGCCAATAACATTAAACCATTTTATTTTATAACGCAGATATTTGCGAAGTAAAAAAAATTTTCTAAAAGCTTTTATAATCATAATTAGATGAAGGTTTTTACTATCCCGCCACCACAAAGTACATCTTGTTGTGCTTTTTAATTATTATAATTTATGAGTTATTACAAAAAAAAACTTATTTATTTCTCAGATTAATGATCCAGATGGTGAAGCCGAAGCAGGCAAAAATGTGCTATCGTTTCTGAATATAACTGGTTCAGTCCAAGAATGGCTGCAACTGGAGCCAATGCCTACAAAACCTTTTATTATTAAATCTGACTCTGAAAGCCACTCCAACAGATCAACCCCATTAGAATTTGAATCTACCACCAAATCTGACGCTGATAATAAACTAGAAACCATATTTATATCTGATTGGTTGCCACCAGAAACATTGCAAAACAGAGAATTCACATGTATACCCACGTAAGTATACGCAGTTTTTAAAACTGTCTTATAAATTATTATTTTTTGTTTGCCAATTAACATTATATTATAAAGTCAGAATCACTATTAACTTTAACAATAAATGTCAAAAATTGCGAAAAATTTCAAAGTTTAGCTAGTATAATGTTAAAAGTATGAGTAGCTATTGGCACATGGCTATTTAATCTGTGTATAAACAGCTGTTTCGAAATAGAAAGCTGAAAAATGTGGCAAGTAGGCCGACGAAGTAGTGGCCTAAGTAAAATAGAATAGAAGCGAAGCGGAGCTTCAGCTTGGTTGAGCAATTGGATGAGTTAGTGCATTTAGACAGTGTGTTTAGCAGGAATGGTAGACATAATAAGGGCAGAATAAAGAGTAAGCGTAAGGCACAGTTTAAATGGGGCTCTTTGTGGGAAATCGATGTGTCAAAAACAATGATGTGTTATAGTTCGGCCGTTCAGAGAATGCGTTCCTGACACGTCGCGATTGAACTGACGACGTAACTTTGTAATGGCGTTGCAGTTACGATAAAAATATTTTTGCTGGTTGTTTACCGTTTTAACAATTGATGAGTATTAAAACAACATTATTATATCAATAATCAATGAATGTTATAATTTTGTGCCAGTGTCAAATAACTTGGTAAACAATATTTTTCTAAATCTATACTGCGCTATTACATAGCGCAGTATAGGTTATGTCAGCGCTTTATATTTGTAGTGCTGTGCTAACAATAACAGGCAATAACAGTATCGTAATCTGTTCTTATACAGTTATACTTTATAAAATAATACGTTTTGTTTTTCTTTTTAAGAATTTGAAAATAATGGACTATAAGATAACTTTTATTAAATATAAAAATAAAACTACGACCAAACCGAACGCGCGAAAGAAAGTAGCATTTTTATATTTAGGTTGAAAATGGTAACCCCAAATGGCGTTATGGGCCGCCATTTTGTGACGCTAAAACAGTCGTCTGTTGTCGTTTCGTGCGCATAGACCACGTTCTTCAAGTGTTTTCGATCTGTTTTTATTTGATTACCCGGCTTTCGTTTAATGGACTGTTTCTGCTTTTCAAACTGACATCGGTGCTAAATCGGATTTCGATTGTGTTTTGTATTGCGTTCTTTTTACTTTTGGTGCATAATAATGCCTAAACGTGGACAAACATTAAAAAGTGAAGCCCGTGAGTTAATCATCAAGCTGCAAGATTACTATGAGCGGGAGCGGCAAAATGGCGGACCCCTGTTACCTGTCGAACAAGTACAAGAACGCGTCTCTCAGGCGCTTGGAGTTAGCAAACGAACGATAACAAATATTAATAAAGAAATGTTCGGCTCTACTGGCACAGAAGATAATATTTTACGTACTCCGAAGAAGAAACGTAGAACTAAACCCGTGACAGATATTGACACCTTTGACGCCGATGCAATCAGAAATCATATATATGGTTACTATTCCAGAAATGAATATCTCAACAGGGAGAAGCTTTTGGCATCGTTAAGAGAAGCTGGACTGTTTAGCGGGGTAAAACTGCTTTAACCAAAATCTTAAAAGATATTGGTTTTTCGTATAAAAAAAAACAGACAAAAGAAAAATTTTATTAGAACGATACGACATAATTTTAAAACGGATAAGTTTTTTGAGAGAAGCAAAAAATATTGATAACTGGGATAATGTCGTGTTCATTGACGAGACATGGCTAAACGCCAATCACACGGTTTCCCGTTCTTGGACGGATGATACACAAGCGTCGACGTCGAAAGTACCAATGGGAAAGGGGGCCCGTCTGATAATATGCCACGCAGGTTCTGCAAAATACGGCTTTGTGGAGAACGCGTTACTGGCATTTCAATCAAAAACCACAAATGACTACCACGAGGAAATGAATGCCACTACATTTAAAGAGTGGTTCCAGAACGTGCTTTTGCCCAACCTACCAGAGCCTTCTGTAATATTCATGGATAATGCCTCCTATCACTCGGTTCAAATACAGAAACCACCTACCCAAGCTAATAAAAAAGAAGAAATGGTGGCTTGGTTACAGGCAAAAGGCATTGACGCAAATATGCAGATGCTAAAACCAAAGCTAATTAAATTAGTTAAAGAAAATAAAGCGGCAAATGTGCGATACGAAATCGATAAACTGACTCTGGAGTACGGTCATCGCGTTCTAAGAATTCCACCGTATCATTGCCAATATAACGCGATTAAGCTAATCTGGGCTCAAATTAAAGGTTACGCCGCCCGCCACAATACTTCCCCGCCATTCAGCACGAAAAAGATGATGACCCTATTAAAAGAAGCCTGCGGGGAAGTCACAAGAGATGACTGGGTAAAGGTTGTTGAGAAGACTAAAAACCTGATTGTGGAACATTTTGACCGAGATATCAGGATTGATTCTGTTATTGATAATAATATAATTATACATGTAGGCGAAGATGATGATGAAGACACCACCTCCTCAAGCGAATCGTAGTCTGATTAATATTCTGTACGCACATTCAATTCAATGTACTTTATTGCATAGAAATACGGAATGTAACTTTGTAACAAAGAATAAATAAAACAATTTTATTATATTAATATTACCTTTTTTTGCTTTTCACTTAAATTACTAAAATATAAATTTTAAATGAATACGTCAATTTAAAACGAAAATAATCTTAAAAATAACGCGGCGGTTCATTTTGGAGGAATGGTAACGAACTCAGTGTTATGTTGTGCCCATCGCTAGTCGTGACTAACTGATAGGTGTCAGGAACGCATTCTCTGAACGGCCGAACTATAGTCCCTACGTTAATGTATGTTAGTGAAATTGAGTATAGCAGAAGAAGGATTAAAGTATAGTTAATGCTGTAGAAATGCTGATTGAAATCAAAATCTTCTCAACAAGCTAGAGCGCCTTCTCAACAATTGCATCAGATACATTTTCAGTCTTCGTAAATATGATCATATCTCTCTATCTCTCTCGTCTTAAACGGCTCAGTATTAAACAAAGGCGTGACTCGAATTTTGCTTGTTTTCTTCTCTATTCTTAAATGATACATTCACTCCTTCTTATCTCAAGGATAAATTTAATTATATTTTATAAACACATGATAGATCTGCATTCCTCGTTTAATAAGAAAATAAGTATCCTACTACATTTCACCAATTTTCTTGGTAAATCCTTCACTATTCAGGCTGCACTGCTCTGGGAACTCTTTGCCGACAACATGTTGCCCGAGAAGCAAGTGTCGATTTCAGCTGCGACTGTATAGCCCTTCACAAGTCAACTTCTGAACATAGACCTCCCCCAAAGAATGCCACAAAGCACGGTCGTGAGCCACCTGCATCCATCGACTTCCTGCATGTCTTACCAGGTCGTCACTCCATCTAGTGGGGGTATGCTCTACACTTCGTCCGCCGATACGGGGCCGCCACTCGAGAACCTTTTTTCCCCATCGGTTATCGGTTCTTCGAGCTATGGCCGGCCAATTGCCACTTCAGCTTACTAATCTGTTGGGCTATGTCGGTCACTTTGGTACTACTGCGGATATCCTCATTTCTAAGTTTATCATGCAGAGAAACTCCGTATCCGACCAGCACTAAAGGACCACGTCTCAGTTCCATAGATCATCAATGGCAACACGCACTGGTTGTACAGTCTCGTTTTCAAGTTTTGAGGTATACCTGACGAGAAGATGTGCCGTAATTTCCCGAACCCTGCCCAGCCGAGTTGAATCCATCAATTGACCTCTCGGTCGAAGTTGGAATTTCCTAGTCGGACTATTTGTTCCAGGTAAACATACTCTTCAACAACTTTGACTTTAGTGCTCCCAACAACTACCGACATATGTGTGACATGGACGTTATACATGATCTTTGTTTTGTCCATGGTCATTGAGCATAGTGCTTAGGTCTTCCAGCGATTCTGCCATAAGGACTATCGTCGGCAAATCGAAGGTGAGTGATGTACTCGCCGTTGATGTTAATATCGTATCCTTTCCAGTCCAGAAGCCTGAAAAAGTCTTCCAATGCAGCGGTGAAGAGTTTCGGGGATATAACGTCACCCCGTCTTACACCTCTCTGCAGTTGGATAGGTTTCGTACTCTAGTTCTGTACTCGGATAACCAACGTAGCCCTACTGTACCAACACTTCAGCACTTCGATATACCGACAGTCAACTTGGCACCACTGGAGGGACTGCAGCACCGCCCAAATTTTGACGGAATCAAATGCTTTCTCATAGCTCACATACGCCAGACATAGTGGCAGATTGTACTCCTCGGACTTCTGTACAATTTACCGAAGGATATGTATGTGATCTAAGATGCTGAAGCTTTTTCGGAAACCGGCTTGTTCGGGAGGCTAGAAGTCGTCGAGTCTGCATGCGAGACGATTCGTAACGACTTTCGAAAACAGCACGTAGACGCGGCTCAGAAGGGAAATCGGTCTGTAGTTCTTCAAGAGAGCGTTGTGGCCTTTCTTGAAGAACAAGACCACCGCACTTCTGCGCTTTATTTAATAAAATGAGGGAAACATAAGTATAGCCGTCATTTGAATTAAATTTTACTTAGTAACTCGTACAAATATAACAGTAATTCACCATTATTTTATTTTTCGAAAACTGCACTTAAAATTAATTAAATAAGCACTATAAAATACTCTAGCGCCAGCCGCATGTATTGTCTATCAGACTCAGTGAAGTGCGCTAGCACAAGGTCGGCCCGCCCCATGCCCCGCAGTGCCCCCCACCGTTCTGTGCAAATAAAATTCGTTTCCCACCTGTAAGGTCTTTAAACTGGGCTATAGTGGCCTGAGCCAATCCTCTCTTGGCCAGTTCGTTTGCTGCGTCGTTTCCTCTAGATCCACTGTGTCCCTTGATCCGTTGTAGAATTTAAACGGTTCCAAAATAGAACTGTTATTGTATTTTGTTTTTAAAATGGTGTTTTCAGGCACTTCGTTTAATTGCAAATAGGCTCGTAAACTAAAACGAAGCGTTTTTATATAATATAGAAATCCGGCATTAGTGATTTTAAAAAAGGGTCTTGAAAACGTAAATTAAAAATTATTTCATAAGTAAAATTAAATGTCAACGATTCTCTCCGTGCTTCGACATGCTCTCGAGGCTTTCGGTTTGTTCCCAAATCGTCTTGTACTTCCCAGCTGGTCTATTAACTATAAATTCTATTGTATCTTTTGTCATGCTGTTACGGTCTCTTTGTTTTCGGCTTGTATGGTGTTGGTGCCGACTACGAATTTAATTCAAGTCTTATCGATTTAGAGTTTAAAATTAAATACTATGCGATTCAAATAAGAATAGGACTTCAAACCAGTTAGGTAGATTAAGTAAAGCAGATAAATTTGAATTAATATAATATTTATTTACAAATTTACAATTAATTTAAAAAAAGAGAAATGAACTAAAATAAATAATCGTAATCTAGCGCTTCAATAATTAATTTAATTAATTTATTATTTATTTGTTTAATTTATTAATTTACTTTTTGGCAAAATGATGCCAACAGTGAAAATAAAAAAAAAATTGTTTTAAATTACGAATTATGACTTAGTATATATTTGGTAACACTAAGACTAAGTTAAATAAATATAAAATTGGAAAAACCATACTTTTCAATTGACAGTTGACAGATCGCGGTCATTTGAGGTTATTATTATTCCTATTCTTATCTGAATCACATTGCAACTAGATGTGACTTAGCGGTCGCTTTGTTACGCTACCACCCGTTTACAAGAGCTTAAAATGAAGTACCGCCTGTCGCTTGGCGCCTTCTGTTTAGTAAAAATAGTGCCACAATTCCTATTTCTACCACTGCAATGCCCTATAACCTTTTACTATCGCCGAATAGTCGTGCCTACGCCGCTGTGTTTCCATCTGAAGGGTATGATGGAGTACCAGTACAATTACATATTGTGAGGCATTAAATCTTAGTCCTCAGAGGTGACGACGCATATGTAGCCTTTGTAACGCCAAAGCAAGTGGGCGTTCCCAATAGTGATCAGCCTGCTTAAAGGATAATGAATTTTGAGTTTTCATAGCCTTATTGTAATTGTAATCATATCTAAAACTTAAGTTTACTTAACATTGTAATTGATGTTGTCAACATTTGAAGCACATCTATCTACATTAGAAACGGAGACAAACAACAAGACGCGTGCCGTCTGGGAATGTCGGAACGTTGACTAACATGTTGAGCGTCACGTTTTGCGCATCGATTGTTACCTAATTATGCATAACCAGTTTCGTAATAATTGGAACAAATTTAGAGTTTTGATGAAACTTCTTTATTTAATTTAATAAAGGTGATTTCACTTAGGGTTTCAATTTTTTTTAACGTAACCGCCACTAGCATTTTCTTTTGTATCGTGGGGGCAGTTTACAAATATAAATTTCACAAGGACAAACATCCAGACCCAAAACAATTATTTGTAGGCCATACAAATTCTTGTTCCGTGCGGGATTAGAACCCGCGGTCCCTTAGCGCTGCAACTCAATTGCTAAGCCACTTCGCCACGGAGCCGTCACATTTAGTTATTGTAATAATTCCCTACAAAAAATATAATTAACTCTTAAAAGTTTGTTTTAAGCTCATTTGACTGGTATGACTTTATAATATAAATTTTATTGATTAAATTTATTTAAAGTACTCTACTCATTGGAAAACAAAATTAAAAACTAATAATTGTTATAATAGGTATGTGGACAACGATGGTATTATTTACCTTCATGATATATCGCAACAAGACACTTTGGACTTAATTCGAAAAGCGCTAGATGTTCGCTTTAAGAATCCAGATCCTAAAGCTAAATACGCCAAATGGTCGGTTGGTGAACCATGTGTTGCCCTTTACTATCTGGATAACAAATTTTACAGAGGACGAATATTAGAAGTTAACAGTGAAACATCTACTTGCGTGGTGCATTATATTGATTATGGAAATGAAGAGAGTTGTTCATTTTCTAATTTAAGGAAAAGTATTGCTTTATATCAAATTCCGATACAAGCTCACAAATGTATATTGAATCGTATTCAACCCATTGGAAAATATTGGGACAGACAAACATTGGATTACATGCATAAATCGATTGTTGAGAAACAATGCTTCGTAAGAATCTGTGGAGATCCAATAGATGGTATCTATCCAATCGAATTAAAGTATGATAAGCTCTGGATTAACGATCATTTAGTTGAATTTGAAATGGCCGAGTACACTGATGGCTCTAAAGCAGTGGTGAGGAAGTTTGCCCGTGATGAAGGACGAAATAACAACGAAGAACATTCGTTCGTGGCAGAATCAGACTCTGGACCAGATTACATTGTTGAAGAAGAACAAGATCCGGAAATGTCTGCTTCTCTTGATTCATTTAGTATGAAAGCATTAGAAGGAAAAGATTGGAACCAATTATTGCAAGACGAAGAAGAAAAGCTTTCTCTTGAAGAAAACTATTCTACATTCCCAAAGAATGATGATAAAGATTTTACATGTAATATCACAGTCATCAATGATATGAACACTCTTGAACTTAATATGATTAAACCTAACGAAAATGTAGAATTGTATGAGATGATGTTTGAAAAACTACAAGAAGAAGCAAATAACATGCCACCTTTGAATGGAATATTTGAAAATAAAGCGTGCGTGGCTCTCTTCGATGAAGATGGTCAGTGGTATAGAGCTACAATTTTGGAATACAGTCCAAATACAAATCGCCTAAAAGTTAGATATATAGATTATGGCAACATCGAAATAATCTCTTTAGCTGACGTCAGAGAAATTGATGAAGAATTTACGAAATTACCACCACTAACCGTATCGGCAACTTTACACGGTGTGCTAATTAATCCAAACGTGGATGTAAATATTCTTACAAAAGAATACGAAAATACATTTTTGGATAAAGGTCCATTCCATGTTAAAGTTATTGATTACAAAAATGGAAAGCCATCTGTTGAATTAAGAAATAACGATGACGAATTAGTTTATAAGCACCTTATTGACAGTAAGATTTTTTTGCGTTCAGATGAGTAAAACATTTTTTTTTATTTCAATGGTACTGCGCGTATCATAGTCCATCATGAGTCATGACATTTAAAAATTATTCTTTTTTGTTTCGTTTTCGTAAAGCTTTATTTAAAAGCCTTTAGTTATATGTTACATGCCATTATTATCATTCTAAAATAAATATTTTACTCAAATTTTGTTTTTTTTTTTTTCTCATCTATTCCCTTATTTTTAGTAAAATAAAAATTATTAGTTCCTTCCATTCATACAAAACAGCCTATCAAAATCTACTGCTGAACATAGGAACCTAACCTATGAAATTGCATTTTTGTATGGAAAATTTAAATTACATTTATAAGAAAAAAAAAACTAAAAATACCCAGTGCATGTTGCCAGTGATATATTGATATGAGACGTGTCCTTCACTGGTGGCCTGAAAAGATAGCTCAAGGTCGCTTTGCGAGCTAAGGAGAAGACTGTTTGGAGTTTCTCTGCGTGATAATCTTCGTAAAGATATCGGAATGGATCAATAAGCTAAATCATCAATAGAAATAGAGTGAACACCTAGTAAGAAACGCAGGAAGTAATGGGTATATAGGTGGCTCAGGACCGTGCTTTGTGGCATTCTTTGTTCAGCAATGGACTTGTGGACTTGTGATTAGCTATAATGATGATGGTTAACCGGTTCAGTGCGAATGGCACGCCAGGCGTGCAATTGATTATTTTTGTGTGTGGCGTATGACACACGAGTCGTGTCTTTTTTTAAAATTGTTATAACTAACTCAAATTGTGTTTTTGGAAATTTTATTCAGAACAAAATATTCATTATTTTGCAAGTAGTTCATGCCTATAGCTTCGTTTCTGGATATTTTGAAATTTTTAGGGGTTGACAACCTTTTTTTAACTTGTACATGGTACCTTTTTTACTTTGTGGGTTTTAAATCATGTGGAAAAATAGGCTAATAAGTAACAAATAACAGCTCTCATTGCGATCGCTCACAAACTCAAGTTGTAAATAAATTTCTGGAAAACAAGTCTCCTGTTAAAAAAAAAACAATGCGTTTGTCTAATTGTTTAATTTTGCTTAAAATGGTTGAACTGCCGTCTTATTACTATCATATGGCCAAATAGATCTACGAAGCACCATGTGCTCTTGTGATATGGTATAAGGTTTAATTTTGCTTGAAACAGGTCGAAACCGTTCATGCTTCATGCGAAAAAAGTTCGCTAAGAAATAGTCTTTTGTCAATCTGCCACCGTACAGCGCCGGCGTTTTTTTCCTTTTGAAAACACTTGTTTTGCTATTCTTACCAATGCGACGTTTTCAGATCGACTTTACTTTTACATTTGTATAACATTAAATAATATTTAACATTTGTAAATATCAATGAATCATAAATTCATAAACCTTATTTTTTTCCAAATTAAGGTTCATGATTGTTTAATATTTACAAATGTTATTATTAGGTGAAAATTTAATTTAATAAAAACCATGGTTTTCCAGGGTGATTTAGCTGTACCTACTTATATAAATGATTTTTTTATAAAACAAAAAATAGTACAAAAGGTTTGTAATCTCTGCATAAAAAGTCACTTACTCTCAATTTCAAAGAAAACACGTAGTTACCCACTAAAAACAAGTATCCTTCCATTTGTAACTGATGTTTGATGTCAACTAAACTTAATTAGGTCTAAACAAGTGAAAAAGGCGTGTCATGACATACTTGTTCGCCGCCACAGCTAAAAGTTGTCGAAAATCGGCGCCGCAACGAATCGGTTAATAACAACTATTTGCTTAAACTATTGACACATTTTTCCCATTATATGGGCAGTTTGTTAGTGCCCTTGCTATAGAAGTCTGCTTCAAGAGAATCTATCATATCTTTACCATCCAACTGGTCTAGGTTGGACAAAATATAGTATTTGAGACAAGATTTTGACGCTCGATAATTGATATTTCTTGAACGGTATACGCTCTGATAAATATGTGCATACTTTAAATATGTACTCAAATTCTTAATAGAATGGATTTTTAAAAATAAAATATAATTTAATCGCCGGGAAAATACTTTGCCGTTCAAGTTCTAATTTTTTAAGCGATAGCCATATGAGGCAAAAGGTCTAGGACAATAACAAATAATGCATGCAGCAGAGGAAGTAGCGCTAAAAGCCTTTTAACATCGGAAATTCTCGCCTTAAAGGCGTTTATACAGCTTCTTCAAAATTAAAATTTTCGTCTGTCAAAAAGTTACCAAAATCTCGAAAAAAGGAGTCTGCTGAGCGAACTTTCGAGCTTTGGCTCTGCTGATTTCGCCATCTGTTGTGCAGTATGTGGCCGAACATTGGTATAAACAAGCAAGCTTGTTCACCAATCTAGGTGTTTTTGCCAGCTCCTCCATCATTTGCATTTCTTGACAATAAGGGTCAACAGTAATTGTAGCACTATGTAGTAAGAAGCTTATAGTGAATAACACCAATAGTAAACCACTAAAGTCAATACATTTTTTCTGTTTAATCTTTCGTTTCGGTCATAGCTTGACTTTTGCATCTTTAGTTACTTTTAGGGAGATTGCTAACTCGTTTTTCAAACCATTGAAAAGAAAAAAGCCCCATGCACGCCAGCCGACTGTTATTTTAACCATTTTAAGGTTTTAAAGTGACATAATACTATACAAAAATATCATACCATTGTGCTGGCAGTGGACAAACAGAAATAATAAACTTATTCTACTTCCGTCGTGGCTATTGGTGAAATAGTGAACTAGAAGTTTGCATGTCTTCTCTCTAACTTTGAATGCAGCCCACAAATAAGTAATAAAAATTGTTTACACCTGGTGCATCAAAATATACAAGGCATGATGGGCAAAGAATTAGAAGTTGAATTGTTTTTAAATAGTAACAACATACATATCCTTTGTTTTACTGAACATTGGCTAAAACATGTTTAATTTCAGAAATCACCAGGTGGTCAGTTCCTTCAATAGAGAAAAAAGTTTACGTGGTGGCTCCTTAATACTAGCAGATAAATCATTATGATATAAAAAACGTAAGGATATAGTGAGCCTCTCTGTTGAGCGAACTGTAGAAATAGCTTGTGTCGAGCTCGAGCACCTCATTGTTGTAAGTGTTGACAGACCCCCATGTGCTACTTATGACTATTTTGAAAGGATTGTGGAAGAAGTTTTGCTAAAACTTCTTCCTATAATTAATAGAATCAGGCGTTACTTTGCGGAAATCCATTATATAAAAGCTTTTAGAAAAATTTAATTCGCAAATATCCGCGTTATAAAATAAAATGTTGTGTCTTACCTAGTATGAAGAACACCTCCCGCCCTCCCTCAATTGCGTGCACTATCCCTGTCACCACTAATCCCAGCACCGCTACTCCCAACACCATTACACTAGGCAAGACACACCACTGACGATAATACGACACGTGTTTCGCCTCTACACGAGGCATCCTCAGGTGATATAGACTACGGTGGCTAACCGCTAAGAAATTCTTAGTGCACGCAATTGAGTGAGGGCGGGAGGTGCCCTTCATACTAGGTAAGACACATCATTTTATTTTATAACGCGGATATTTGCGAAGTAAATTTTTCTAAAAGCTTTTATAAAACTTCTTCCATTAGTATTAAGTTTAGCTCATTGTTTAAATCGTATAATCTTGTTAATTTATTCTTAGAACCTACACGTATTGCTGGGCCTAGTGCGACCTGTATAGATAATATTTTTACAGATGTTAAGCCCTTGCATAAATCAATTATTCAAAATTTAAGTTCAGATCACTGTGGACAGTTGGTATCATTACCATTGCCTTACATACACAAGAAACAGAAAAATAAGAAAGTTGTGTTTGTTCCAATAAATGAACATCGCATGGAGAGGTTTAGAAGTAATATAATATAAAGACTTCCATCACTTTCATTTAAAAACAGTGCTAATTATTTGTATGGTACGTTATTTAAAATTATAACTTGTGAATTTAGTAGGATATTTACTTCTAAAACTTTCTCTTTTAACAGTCGCAAATCATTTAATGAATGGGCGACAGTAGAAATTTATAAGAGTAGGCGAAAGTTATACGAGCTTTATAATGAAAGATCATATAATAGTAGTGTTATATTTAGAGATTATGTAAAAACATATTCTAAAATATTTAAAAAAGTGTGCGCCACAGCTAAGGCTTTACATTTAAGTAACAAAATTAAAACTGCATCTAACAAAATTAAAATGACCTGGTGAACAATAAATAGTGAAACGGGCAAGGTCAAACCGCGCAACTCTGATTTTCAATTGAATATTAACAATAATTTAACTCGATCTGATCAAGAAGTTGCTATGGCTTTTGAGAAACATTTTACTGATGTTCCTTTTTTGACAACTAAATCATTAAACTCTTCTCCTACTGTCGCCGAATCATTGCTCAAACAAAATGTAAAGGCTTGTTCAAATACTTTTAAATTGTTAAGAAAACTGCAGATTTATGGGGGATTTGCGTTAAAGTTATTTTATCTATAATAGATACCTAGTCAGGTCATAAGTATTGTCACACAGTAAAAACTTTTCTTTTAGAATGCTGGCCACAAAAAAGTTTATTGAATTCGAATTTCGAATTGTTCATGAAAATAAAACTGTATACTTTTTAGAATTTTACTCATTTTTAAATATGGAGTGGACGCTTAAAGAAGACCGTGTTGCAGTTATTGCGTTGCATCGTTGCGCTTACGCGCCAATTCAAATTTTTGACATACTGAAAAATTTGAATATAACCAAAAGATTCGTTTATCGTACCATCAAACGATACAATGAAGACTCTAGTGTAGATGACAGGTCAAGAAGTGGTCGCCCTCGGTCTGTTAGGACTCCAGCAGTGATAAAAGCTGTGAAGGCGCGTATTCAAAGAAATCCCAAACGTAAGCAGAAACTGTTGGCCCTTCAGATGGGGTTAAGCAGAACCACGGTGAAAAGGGTGTTAAATGAAGACTTAGCTTCGGGCATATCGAAGAAAAACAGGACATCGTTTG